AACTGAATTACTTTTAATAGTGATGTTATTGTATACTGGTGAGTTTTCAGTTATTCAGTTTTTCCATATCTAGAACTAGAAAGGAAGCCACAGGAAAGAATGGGTTGGTGAACGCTAGTCAACGGCCTATGCTCTATTGGGAGCAACAGACATAAGTAAGTAAGTAAGTAAGTAGGTCAGTTCTACATCCAGATTATTAGCATACATTTTGATATAGCATTCATTAGTTATTAGACTCCAGATGGATTTCCAGAAAAAAAAAGACAAACTATCTATCTAGTACTATTCCAATTTCAATAACTTTTTATCCCAGCTTATTTCGCGACAAAAATTCCCTTACGAATCATAGGGAAATTTACACAAAACACAGGTAATGAATGTTAAGATTTGTAAAATATCATTTCAGAATGAGTTGGTAATTCTTTTTGAGAATAAGAATTACTTTTAAATCAATGTCAACTAGTTAACTGCACTAAATAATCAATAAACATTAAGAAAACAAAGGAGATAATCAATATGTGATAGTATAGTTAATCAATAAATGATCATTACAAATAAACATGAATTATAAAAAACATATGAAAAGTTGTCACTAATACAATGACACCAAATGAAGACAAATTTTGAGTATAGTCAGTAAGATCAATTGCTTATTATTATTATTATTACTATTATGACGACTGGTTCTATCGATAGAATCATTGTTACTGTCATAGTGAGCAACTTGATTAGTTGACTGGAATTACCGTTGATGCAAATCTCATAATGAGATCTATATAAATTCTCAGCTCATTTAGCTTTGAATTAACTATAACCGTTCACTTGAAGGTATAAATCCAACCAATCGATTATTCAATAGCTTTGATTCATAGGTCGTTTCTATCTTACCATGTTACCAATTTTATACTATTCATACGAACTTCCTACTGATGTTAATTAATATCACTATTACTAATAATTTTCGTAATCCATTTAACGTCTGATCATTCAATTTGGAACTTAAGGCTAAGGGAGGGAAGGGCCAATGGAAACATATGTTTTAACACTTATTCATCATAACAAACGTGATATTCAGTAAAGAAGTCTAAGCACACTATACTTCAAATAATGTGATTTATACTGAAATAAAGAACCAATCTTAGTAAGACAATTGCTAGAAACTTGCGATTACTGGACGGCTGTTTTTTTCTCAGTATGGGACTCATCAGCAGTGCGTGTCCACGACTCTAAAGCTAGGAGTCGAGTTCAGGAATTTCATTCATGTGTGCGAGCGCTCTAAGCCGAGATCCTGTGGTGTACAGTGACCAAGAGGTTAGACGTTAGGACAAAATATCGAAGGTCCTAGGTTTGAATCCTTCTTTTTATTGGTCGCCTTATTCTGATCTAATCAAGATATGAATGAAATTCAACAATCTCCACAAACCCATACTGATAATGACGTCTACTTTGATAATTTGTATTAAGAAAAATTACTTTGTTAGCTTGACCAATTTGTTACAGTGTGGATCCAAGTCGTCTTTCATAACCATTTTCTCAAGGATTTTATTATTAGTTTGTCGATTCACCTAGACTGGTGGCCACATTGCAACATGGTCGATAGCATTCGATCTGCACTAAATAAGGAATTGACATACATGACATTGATCACCACCCAGTGATCAATCAATTGTGATTACATCTCAATCCTACAGGAGGTTGGTTGTGGGCCGGATAGCTCAGTGGCAACGTCTCTAACTGTGAAGCTGGGTGACACGAGATCCAATCCATCAGGGAGCACCAGTTCCCTCAAGATTACAGGTACACCTTACTGACGAGTGCCAAGTAGCACGAAACCCGGGTTCAGAGTTTCTCGTCGACTACCTCCAACCACCGTCTAGGCGTCATACATCTCTAAGCTATCTCAGTTGACGAAGATTCACTAGTTCACTAACCGATTTTTCACCTTTACATAATACTCTATGCTTTATCACTAATTATTGAATCGTTTTACACTAAGAGATTAACACTTCTAAAACTTTAGTTGTACATTTCTAAAATTATTATTATAACATTCTATTCTCTGTTTTGTTTCTTATTTCTAGTTATTATTAACTTACTAATTCCATTAATCAATCTTATAAATTAATTTTACAAGTTTATTGACGGTATTCATTTCCTTAAATTTCCCCTATATACATACAATAGTTAGTTATAATTAACATCTTTCTAATAGATAAGTACTTCCGTTCTACTCAGAAATAATGTATTGAATTATGTTTAACAGAATCATACTATACGTTGGTTTGTATATTGTTCAATTTGATTTATTATAATGATTTGTAAGGATTTTTACCGCTCAATTGATAAGTCCTAAAGAAATGAATGAATCAATGAGTCAATGAATCAGTCATCTTTTGTAAACGTTTTAAGCGGCATTCCTTTGACAATAAAGAAAGAAGTATTCATAATGTATTCACTGCTAAGTTTGAGGCTACTTTCTTTTATGTATACAGTATAGTGAAACGGAAATGAATGACGGTTTAAAAAACATTTTATGGTCAATCGCAATAATTTGTGCAGTTTAGCAGAAATTATTAGTTGTAAATAATGGGTAGTGATCAGTATCATGTATGTCAACTCCTTCGTAGTGCAGACCGAAATCTATCGACCAAGTTGCAATGTGGCCATCAGTCTATATGACTCGACATCACATGCACTATATTGCGATGAGATGTTGGTTGGGGGTAGCCGACAGGAAACCCTGGACATAGATTTCGAGATATTTGGCACTCGTTTGCAAAGTGGAACAAGAAAGGACCTAACACACATAAGATTGATTACTACCCAATGAATAATCAATTGGAAATACATCTCAGTCCTACAGGAGACCAGTCGCGGTCCGGATAGCTCAGTGGTAATGTCTCTGAATGTGAAGCTAGGTGACACGGGATCGAAGTATCAGCTCCCTGAATATTACAGATACACGTTGCTAACGAGTTTCAAATATCATGAAAACTTAGCCACCATCTATTGAGAAATATCTTTTTACAAATTAAATCTAAATTACCATATATAGAGTAATAATAATAGGATGCATTATTATTAATTCGGCTCCTTGCGAAAAGAAATATTTATCCGAGTAGTAATTAATCGATAAGAGGTTTTTAATATCGAACGTATTGATATTTCGCCAAGGAAGTGTATTCCCATTTTGTCTTCGCTTGAATCAGAAAGCTTCTTGCTTATAAAATTAACTTTTTTATCTATAAATTGACCGGATCCGGTAAGCATCAGTCGTGCACAAACAAAATCGAGACATAACGAATCATCGTTGAACAGTCAATTGAATGAAACTCGTCACTATACGTCAACTTCCTTGACTATGAGAACGAGTTTGACAGTGTGGATAAGAGGACTTCGTGGAACCTTCTTTGATACTATAGTGTCTTTGAGAGGATCGTCAACATCATACGGAATTCATACGACAAACTACAGTTAAACGTCGTGCTTAGAAGACAGCTGACTGATACTCAAGATACTCAACGTCCGTTGGTTGAATACCATCAGCAACAACCTGCTGTAAGAGAGGACAAACCAACTTCGGGCTAAAGAGGAAGTTAGGAAAAGACATTGGAAGTGGATAGGACATACATTATGGAAATCAGACTGCATCACGAGGCAAACGCTAACCTGTAATCTTGAAGGAAAATGGAAAAGAGGAAGACCGAAGAACACATTACGTCGGGAATTGAAAGTAGACAAGAAAAGAATGAATAGTAACTAAAAACAACTGGAAAGGATTGTCCAGGATAGGGTTGAATGGAGATTGCTGGTAGGCGGCCTTTGATCTTTCACGAGGGTTGATAGGCGTAAGTAAGTATGGTGGAAGAAGAAAAGTTTTACTCATAGTTTATTAATCATAATAGCTGGTGTTTCAGGACACATACCTACGATTATCAGTTAAAGCACCATTAAGAATTCTGGTTAGAAATCTAACCAACAACTCAGTGATATAGTCTCATTGGTTACTTGGTAAACGTGTCTAAATATCAATTACCGAGAAAATAGTTTTTCTAACAGATAACCTTATAGTTCACCATTTAATTCTGACTTGGTAATCAGATCCAATAGTATGAATTGTAATCATTTATTTGTCCTGAACTATATCATCAACGCCTATATCATAGTTGATACTGCATAGATTTCTAAAATATTTTATCAATAGCAACTTATCATAACAAAATGAGTTTACTTTCTTGAGTAATCTTCCTATTGAATTATCATAAAAAGGATTGGTGTTACATACTACTTATATCAGTCAATATAAGTAGCATACACTACAGTAAGAGTATCATATCTTTAATATCGTTCTTGTTTGTAGCTTGCTTTTTATATAGTTTTGAACTTAGCGCATAATTTAAATGAGCAAGTACTCACAAAATTCAGTGTATGAACATTTAATTTCCATGCAAATATTCATGTACTTTCTTTTTACCATTATTATGAACATGTATTTGTCAACATGAAACACATGATTTACACGTTTGGACTATTGATTTATACAATGAATACTTTAATTATACTCTGTATATGGTCATATTTATCTAATCACAATTAAAGAGATTGATTATTAGATGAGATTTCTTTCTAAATGGAGTAGGGTTCATAAACGATAGCAAATATATGGTATAATTTGGAAATAGGTAAGTCTGATTAATAATGATTATCAGAATGAGGATTGGTGGAGGACGAAACAGTAATCCAGTGTTTATAGGTTTTTAATGATGGTCTAATTTAGATCGACTCATGAATTAAAGTATTAAAAATTATTTATCAAACCAATGGTGATTTTAAACAAACATGGTTCATAATTGAGCTCGATGAATTTATCAGGAATTTTCGGGAACTATGCAACATGAAACACAGAAAAAGGTTGAAAGATTAATAAGGAAATGGCTTTGAAAAATCTATTTTAAGGTTGTCAACCAATTAATCAACTTAAAACAATAATTCGCATGAATTCAGATTCTGCGTGATAATTCTTCTGTCATCATCATCATCATCATCATCATCATCATCATCATCATCATCATCATCATCATCATCATCATCATCATCATCATCATCATCATCATCATCATCATCATCATCATCATCATCATCATCATCATCATCATCATCATCATCATCATCATCATCATCATCATCATCATCATCATCATCATCATCATCATCATCATCATCATCATCATCATCATCATCATCATCATCATCATCATCATCATCATCATCATCATCATCATCATCATCATCATCATCATCATCATCATCATCATCATCATCATCATCATCATCATCATCATCATCATCATCATCATCATCATCATCATCATCATCATCATCATCATCATCATCATCATCATCATCATCATCATCATCATCATCATCATCATCATCATCATCATCAAACTCCTTTCTAATAAATAGCAACCAGTATACTTGAATAGTAGGTAGTTATTTAAGTTTTGAATTGTTTATAAAATGTATGGTAATTCTACTTATGTTGGGTAAAAACTTACCAGTAATTATAATAATTATAATAATAGGAGTTCTGAGTATGAGCTGTAAACAAATCTATGTTTTCAATGTACGGATTTTGGTTCACGCATATATTTATGATTTATAAACACAATTATGCTAAATTTTCGAAGTCAGAGGAAATAATCAACTATTCATTTCTGAAAACTATTGTTATACATAGAACGAGGTAGTTCTATCAATTTGATAGAATTTAATTCAATTCATTCAACATTAAAATTAGAGATGCTTCAAAAAGGGATCTGCACTAAGAATGTTCACAGAACATAACGCTAACAGTTTTTACAAGCAACTAAGTCTATTCTAACATATCTTTTATCACTGAGTATATTGATGTTTAACAAATGTAGGAAGAACAAAGTTTTAAGTGAATTTCCAAGCTTAAAGTTACACAGGTTATTTATTAAGCTCTATTTGACCCATCGTTTTATCAGTCAGTCTGGATATAACACGATTATCATTCAGTGCTATCAAAGACAGTTGCCTTACTTTTCATTGGAATTATGAACCCATCTCAGTTAAACCACCATTAAAACCTGGAAGTACCGAGAGAGCATTTGGTAGTAGTATGGAACTCTTGAGGAGTGAGTATCCACGACCCAGTATACAGGAATCGAACAAAGGAACTTCAATGCTGTCTGCGATCGATTAGCCTGTGGACCACCAAGACGACATACAACGGTTTTAATATCGGAATTCAATCAATTTGCGAAACTCTTCGACTACCTTCCATTGTCATCGGTTGGAAACCATTTACACCCAATACGGTTCCAGTTGCACTGGTCGTAGTTCCCCACTAGAATTCTTAAAATTTCCTTTCAATGCTTTATCTTTGATATGATTTCTTTTTTAACTGATGGCTCCATAGTTTACATTTACATCATTCTGTTTTTAAAAAGACTCATGAGAAACATTAATAAAAATTAAAAACGGATGACCACATTGTCACGGTTACCACTATACGTATATCATACTTTCAGAATGCGATTAATCCTAAGACCATTCACTGGTTATCATTACAGATCACGTAAAGTAAAAAGAAAACCAATTTGATCAATGAAATGTATAGAATATGTATAATACTATAGTTCTATATATAATAACGCTAATATAATTTATTAAACACTAGTAACAACTAACTGACCATTGAAATTTACCCGCAAGACATATCACTAGCATCCCAAAAATATCATGGTCAATTCATTTGAATTTAGTCATTTTGAGACAGGGCATAACAATCTACCAATTTCCAGTACAATTCATTTCTGTTTCCAAATTGGTATCAGAAGGTGTTTTGTGGAGATTGTAGTAATCTCAGTAGTTGAGATCACGAGTCAATTGAAGCTAGATCACCATAGAAAATCTGGAAGCACTGGACGGCTGTTTCGTCCTACTGTGAGAATACTCGGCAGTGCGCATTCACGATCCCGCCTCCCACGACATTCGAACCCAGGACCTATCAGTCTCGCGCACGAACGCTTGACCTCTAAACCACTGAGCCGAACGGCATCCAACGGTGTTAATGTCTAACTTCAATCAATCCATGAGATTGAGTGACATATCGATCACTGTCATCAGTGAGTTATTATCTCACAACTGACCTGGTTGGACTCCACTGATCACTGCTTCTCACTAGAACTCTAGGAAATACCTCTTGAAGCTGTTCAATAATGAGCATATATTCATGAATATCAGAAGAAGGATTTTGTGAAGATTGTAACAATTTCAATGGTTTGAGATCATGAATCAATTGAAGCAAACCCGGTAGCACAGGACAACCGTTTCATCATATTGTAGGACTCCTCACCAGTGCACATCTACGAACCTACCAAATTAGTTTGGAGATTATCTATTTATTCAATTAACATATACTGTACAGTTTACTGACATTAGATTACATAATATTGAAATGACCTATATTTGATTTCATATTCACAATAATAAAATTATCAAAATAAACTGATTATATAATCGATCAGTAAAAAAAATTGATTTTTCTTTTTTTCTTTTTTTTTGTTGAAAAAAAACATTAATTAATATTGTATTTACACCCCATATAGTGTAAATTAAATTTATTGGGTCATTTAATTGAATTAATCACTATTTTAGGTTACTAACTGATGAGCTCAATAAAAAGAACAAAAAAATCAATAAGAATCAATAAAATGATATTTAGGTTTGTTATTATTATTCTTTTTGTTGTTGTTGTTATTGTTGTTGTTGTGACAAATAAAACATTACAAATGTAATTTTCTGTAGTTTACAAAACGTTTAAAAGTGTAACACCCCCCCACACACACAAAGGAAAGTTAAAATGATAGTGTTTAATGCATACAATAATTTAGTGAGTTAGTTTTCTACGGGATCTGGTTGCTAACCCCATGCCCAACCCTCTTCTTTTATCCGGGCTTAGGACCGGCAGTAGCCCCCGGAGGGTTAATGTATATAATACTTAAATCAATCCTATTTCTAAATTTTGATCCTGATAATTTATTTCATATTCATGATCCTTATTCTTGAAATCATGAAACATTTAGTCTTCATATCAAATATTGAACTATAACTGGGATCAATTTATGATTTTAATGAAATCTAACAATGTTCACAATTATTATAAACAAAGATGATGGTAAGGTATCATTATCAAGGTTTGATTTGATAATTTCGAATAAATTGAACATTGGTTGGATTGTTATAAATTAACTAATAGATTTGTAATATCTCAATAAGTAGAAAAATTAGATTTTCTGACGTTTCGTGACTCAATGTAAGTCACTTCTTCAGAGGATAAATAATCAGATCAAAATGAATACAAGTTTTAATAGTACAACAGAACAACAAGAATATTATAATGATGATAACTAGCGGTAGAATTTAAGACAGATATTTGGGACATTTCATAACTGCATATTGAAAATATAAGGATCTCTAAAAATTTATATTCATTATAAAGGTTTAACGTGATAAATAATCTATACCTATATGAATGAATTTATGTATTGTTATGCAATTATTCAACATGTATTCATATTTTTTGATATTAATGTTATTTTCAAAGATAGATAGTGACTAGTTGTGGGATCCAGGATGTACGTTTCGTCCCATCTGGGACAAATCAGCTGGACGTACCTGCATCTTAGAGTTGATATTCACTCTGGAACTCGAACCTAGTGCCATACACTTCAAACACTATCGCGTTTGACACTTACCTACTGAGTCCTGATTGCCACCTGCTTGTGCAATTGGGTGAAACTTAAGCACTGGATGGCAGTTTCGTCCTATTGTGGGAGTCCTCAACAGTGCGAATCCCATATGAATTAACATATGCTCACTAGTGACTGACATCGAGAGGTATATACTGGAGTTCTAGAGAGAAGCAGTGATTAGTGGAGTTCAACCGTGTCTGTTGTGAGATAGTAACTCACTGATGACAATGGTGGATGTGTCGTTCAACTTCGTAGATTAGGTGAAGTTAGACATTAACACCGTCGGATGTCGTCCAGCTCAGTGGTCTAGATGTTAAGCGTTCGTATGCGAGACTGATAGGTCCTGAGTTCGAATCTCGCGGGTGGGGGCGGGATCTTAAATACGCACTGGTGAGGACTCCGAAAGTAGGACGAGACGGCCGTCTAGTGCTTCCAGGTTTTCCATGGTGATCTAGCTTCAATAGACTCACGATCTCAAACATTGTATTTGTTATTTTCTTATTGATAAACTATCCATTTACATAGTAGTTTCTTCTGTTTGGTCAATAACTAGGTGAAAATACTCCAAGACTGGTATAAGCTCATCCTTATACTATAATATATACATATACTCTTATCAAAATTTCTTGGCATAATTTTTTCCATTTATAATTTTACGTCATAAATGATTGATTAACTAAATTTATTAAAAGAATATTAATCTATTAATTTATATATATGAATTACAACATAATGATTTATTATATCTCTTTGATAATGGTCCTAATCAAGAACACATTTACTTAATACTTAAGATTATTGATATGATCAGCGATATTACTGCTAGGGTTGAAGTTATCACGAGTTCACCTAATCTGCGAATGAGAACAAAGACTCAGTGACCAAAGACCAGTAAGCTAGCTATTGATGCGTCCCTGCCCCGCTAACTAGAGGGAGAAGTCCAAGCTTGGAATGGGAAGTATATTCTGCAATAGCCAGAAACCAGCGATAACAACAAACACAATTCAAAAAGTGTATATGCAGCACAAAACCGTCCTTGGGGAGAGTTACCAAACAGCATACTAAAAGACGCAATGGACCAATAGCATTTAAGATATTTTCCAGTGAGAAATACGACATGAAGGTGATAAGAGCACCTTTGGCGCGAAAACAAAGAAATTCAAATCTTATAAATAAAATTACAAAAGTAGGTCCTTTTCCCAATTGAGTTCTGGGGATCTAACGTCCCCAACAGTTCAGTCAGTCAGTCAGCTACAACGTAGGACCAGGCACATATATGCATCGGTCCAAGTTGCCATACCTCATTAACATAATAAGATGGACACCGGATTCAGAGAAGTAGTTAATTCAGTGTTGGTAATATATAAAACAAAGATTGCATATAAGGATATAGTAAAGGAAGAAAGAATTAGTTCGTGGAAAGAAAGATATGAAGCGATTTTAGTCTCTTAGTTTAAGGAAAGACAGAGAGTGTATACACCGACGCCATTGTGATCGATTCTAAGCCGTGTCACCTACAGCCTCCAACCATTGGTTACGATAGTCACGCGGACCCCAACCAAGTAGTCTGCATCTCCCGAAATGGCTCAGACTAGAAGTTAGTGACTTCAAGCATTGATGGTGCGTTTCGGTTTGGTCGCCCCTAACTTCCTAACAATTAC